GGGATGGCTGAGGAAGGAGCATCCCTCTTTGTGGGTCCACAGTCCAAGACAAGGGTACGAGGGAAGCCCGCTGGATCCCACCTCAGGGCCTTTGCACAGGCCATTCCCTCCACCTGGCATCCAGTTCCTGCAAATATGCACACAGCTCCCTTTCTGATCTTGGCTCTAATATCACCTTCTCGGGGAGGCCTCCCTGACCACACTCTGATTCCCTTTCCCTGCCTTAATTTGTCTCCATGGGACACAATATACATTTTTACTTATTTATCTTGTTCAGTGTCCAACTCCCCCACTCCACTGTCAGCTCCTCGAGGGCAGGGATTTCTGTTTGCCCCATTCACTGCCTCTTGCTCTGTGCCTAGAACAGTGCCTGATATCAATATCTGCTGAATAAACACTCGAAAGTGAGAGATCAGGGTCCCTGAGAAAGTAGGTCTTCAGAAAAGCAAGTGGTAGCTGTGGCTGGGGGAGAGCAGAGGTGGAGTGGGGAGGGGGTGCTGAAGCCAATTGTGAGGGACAAGTGTGTGACAGGCCGCTCTGCAGGGAGTGGGCGTTCCAGATGAAGAGAACCGCCTGGGCAAAGGTCCGGTGGCTGGAAACCTTGTACAGGAAGCAGTGGGGACGTCAGGGTGGCAGACGGCAGCAGAGAAGAAAGGGAGGAGAGGTGGGTAGAGGCTGACAGGTGTAAACTTGAACTTGGGATTGGTGAGGAACCATGCAAGAGTTTTGAGCAGGGGGGGCCCTCGTCATATCAAAGCTGCTCCTGATGAGAGGCAGGGGACAATCGTCCAAAGGCCACTGGATCTTCAGCCAAGCCCTGGGAGACAGAAGCTTGAAGTTGGGGGGTACCGGGCATCTTGGTGGCCTCAGACTCACCTCTGTCTTCTTAAATCGCGCCCGGAGAGTCTTCATGGCAACGTCGGATGTTTCTTCTCTCCCCAGGCCACCTGGGGAAAGGCAGGGGTGGGATAGGGTGAGGGACACTAGTCCTGGTGAGTGGGAGGATTGGCTGCCTCCCCCTCCTCAAAAGGACTTCTTCCTCCTCCCTGAGCAGGACATAGACCTGCTCCATCTCCTACCTGCTGTGTGTCCTTCCGCAGGTTACTTGCCCTCTCTGAGGTTCATTTCCCTCATCTACAAAACGAGGGAGATAATCCCTTCTTGAC